CCTTAAGATTATCTGTCCAGTAAAGGAGCCTCCTTTTCTTTTTCTTAGTCTCGTCTCTCTTCAAAGCACTGCCGGCTGCCTTGCTTTAGTGTCCCCAACCCTAGGATCCACAAGCAGCGGCTTAGTTGTTCAATTTTACAATTGTTTCCAGCAAGGTGGTTTTAGCAGCTACTTTTCTATGGATTGGGTTGAGAACATTAACGCATCTCGTAACACAATCGTTAGTGGCCGTGGGTCTTCCATGGGGTTTAGCAGCTGTTTGGTTTTTGTGCTTGAAGAAAGAATCGAAGTCTTGCTAGTTGGAGATGGTGGACGGCTTGGAGACCATGCTACATTGTGTATGAATCACAGAGGATGACATTGGTATCTTCCCACTGCATGAGGTGCGGAGTCAGGAGGATGCCAAGGTAGATAAATTACAGTTGATTGGAAAGATCCTATCATGGAGACGAATCCGTTTCTTGGAATTTGAAGGTAAAGGTGTGGTTTCTAGCGATGATGGAGACTCTAATTATTCCTTATTAATTGTGTATAATTTGGAAGGTGGGGTACCTTTTTCACACCGGATAATTGCTCCATGATATGGTAGGCTATTAGTGGGTGGATATGTTAGGGTTATTAGTGGATGGAGACTATTGTTAACTCAATTATTTGCTCACTTCAAAGTTGGTTTAGTAGATACGAATGCCCAGAAACTTTTAAAATGCTCATAGCGATTTTTTTATTTTTTATATTTATAGCGTTGTTATACCCATAGCAATTGTTAAATTAATTTTTAAGCACAGATGATTTTTTTATTTAATTATTTAAATTCATCATAAGTATAATTTAAATGTGTAAATAATATTATTGTAGGTTATATTTTTATTTTAGATTATAGTGTAATACTTTCAAGATTATTATTTAATTTAATTTTTTATTTTCAATAATAATCTCTAATTTCATTAAAAAAAATTAAAGCTTATGATTCAATACTTAAAAAAATTATTTTTTTTTTAAGGCAAAGGCCCATGCGTGGTGCGTCCAGATTATTATACATCCGAAAATCTATGAGATAGATATCTCTTTTGTTTGTTTGTGGCTGCAGATTCGTTTCTTTTCGATTCTTTTGCTTTTTCTTTTCATTTTCCATCAACATGAGATGCACGAGCATGGAAGGCTATGATTGTGGCTACATATTACAGACTTATAGTTGCATAAAATATTAATTATTTTATTTTATTTTAATTATTAAAAATAATTAATAATTTATTTAAAATATTTTATAAATAAAAGTTAATTTATAAATATATATTTTCAAATATTATAATTAATTATTTAAAATATTAAATTAATAAAATATCAAACCAAACTATTTAGCTTTACCAACTTTACCTGTGGTTATAACCACAGTTAATGAAAAAACATTGACAAATTTTTTTGGCCATGACATGGCAGCGATAATTCTTTGGACAAGCATGTACCGTATGAATCTTTTATAC